TTATTATATTTTATATGGAAATTTGTAAAGAATATTATTACCAACTAAAACAGTTCTCATATTTTCATCGAAGTTCGAACGAACGAATTTCCCTGGAGCGTATCACACGTTTTTGAATTATTCGTCGATTTTTCATTTAGTTGAAATAGGAAAAAGATCGGATCTATTGTTAGTTGAAAAGGGCAAATTCGAGGATGCAGTATATAGTCGAGGAAAAACGGAAGAAAGAAAGAGAAGAAGAAGAAGAAGTCGAAGAGTAGAACGAATTTGAAAGTAAGGTCGAGAGAAGCTGGTGACCTTAATTTTCGATAGGAAAAGCTAGCCGAGGATCGAGAAAAAAGAAGCGGAATTATCCTTCGGGAGCTTTTCTTCCTTCTCTACGATTTCAAAGAAGCTTTCTCGATGCGATGCTAGTCAAAAGAGAAATGTTTTACAACTGAAAATACGTTTCCATTTATCTCCATCCCTCCCATCCCTTTCCCCTACATTTTATTCTATCTTATCTTCTTCTTTTCTATGCATCTTCAATGATACATTATGCCTATCTCAGTAAATTGTTTTTACAATTCAACAAAATCTCTCACCTTTTTTTTAACAACAAAATAGCAAAATAATTGAATAATAGTTTTAATATACATTAAATGTTTTGTGGTTATACTCGTAGGGAAGAAAAAAATCAATCTCCTTTTAGAATTCAATCTAAAGAAAAGTAATAGTTCATTTGAGGTATAATAAAGTTTCGATAAAAATAGTTTGAGTACGGAGGTGGCTCACGTTCCTCGCCTCGCTACATATCGATTTTCTGTTTTAGGAGCCCTTGTTCCCTCTTCTCCTCCTCCTCCTCCTCCTCCTCCTCCTCCTCCTCCTCCTCCTCCGAGGGAGGGAACTCCAAAGGGTGGGACGTTAAGCCTTCGTTATTATGAATCTTTACTTACGGTCTACCGTACTTCTTCTCTCTAGTATCCAACATCGTCAAAGTAATAATAAAATATCTACGACAATTGTTGTTAAAAATGATTTTTTTATTCTAATCGAACGATTGATTAGATTTTGTCAATCTTTTTATAACGGTAAATGGAAAGTAGAAACTTCGCGAAAGTGGTGGACATAAAAATCTCGTTTAAAAGGGGATTTGAGATGATAGAAAAGGGAATATCTGGGAATATTCTGGCCATATTTCGAGCCGATCGCCAGATGATAGCAAATACGAGGGAAATCAAATATCTGGTTGCTATCGGCGCCATAAGTCGATCCTAGTCGTTTAAAAAACTTCATCCTCGTCGATGATCCCAACCTCGCTTCGCCAACTTTTTTCCGCAAATCTATTTCACGCTTGGAAAAATTCAACGCTCCGTTTAAATATAATAATAATAATAATAATAATAATATCGTACGTGTTATATACGTGGAATAAATAAATAACTAGCTGTCATAACGCTCGAACAAAAGTATAAGTTTGAAAATGATTCAAACACTATTGATATTTTATGCAACATAGAGTAAAGTTATTCGATTTTATTCAACGCTGTTAAGGAGATAATAAATTTCGTCCGTTCGTCTTTCGTTTCCTCTCTCTCTCTCTTTCTCTCTCTCACACACACACTCTCTTTTTGGTTCATCTCGCTATTTATAATCATGGCTGAGGCGGTACAGTCGAAAGCCGTGATATTAATTACCAGTGTCACGATTTATCGTTAACAACGGGCATGATACTCGAAACGGATGATGTTCCTCGTTTGTCGAGTTCTTCAACTTTTTCGAGAGATTATGGGGAAAAGTCAAAAGAAAAAAGTGACTTTGAAAAAAAAAATCGAGCGTGAAAGAGGGAGAAAATAAAAAGAGAATGAGAGGAATGCTATGCACTGTACACTATGGTGAAGTCATCGAAAGGGAAACAATAACCGAGAGAAAGAGTACTACGGTTGCGAACAAAAGGAAGGAAAGGGGTGACGAATGAAGCGCAATATCGCAAAGTGCTCTTGATCATTTTCTACGATGAAAGAACACCTACCACGAGAAAAAGGGTAGAAAATTTTAAGTACATTTTTCACAAAAAAAAAACACAAAAAACAAAAAGAAAAATTTGATATCAACTTCCTATAAAAAGAAAGACTTAAAACTTTCATTTTAAATAGGAGAACACAGAAAAATGTTGCTTTTGATAATTTGTAAGATGAAAGAAGAACGATATATATATATATATATATATATGTTTATCCAACGAAGCTTAAATTTATACTAACGACGTTGCATCTTTTCACCGAGTGTATATATATATATTATCGTATATACCTCTCGCAGCTGATCAAACTTTTTTCCACATCTAAACATGCACGTAGTTAAACGCGTCAAGGATGCACACGCGTCGGCCTCATTCTCCTAAACAACACAACGTCAAAGAATGACTACGTAGAAAGCGCGAGTTTTCTAAACGTTCTTCGAATTCCAAAGGGAACGATCGAATAAAAATACTCGATGCATACATTCGAGAAATACAAAATTTCAATCTGAAGAAAAATATGAAATTGCAAAATAAAAATAAGTATCTCTATAATTTATTCAAAATAGCCTAAGTGTTATCGTACGAAAGAAAAAAAATGCTTAAGATACACCCTCATATTATCGTGATACCTTTTTTCGAAAATGATTCCGAAATATTTTAGGAGGCGTAACTTTCTTCGAGAATACAAAAGAGAAATAGAAAGGGGTGGGGGTGGGGGGGGCAGGAAAAGGTGAACGAAATTTGGCGGCAAGCTCGTTTTATCCCAACTATAAGCGACTATAAACGACGACGATTGCTCGAGGGTGAAGAAAAAACGTAAGTGGCGGTGTAGCAAGGGGTACGAGGGGAGAAGAAACGATGGAATACGGAGTGACGGGGATAAAAATGCGGCTCAATCAGCGTTTATATGAAAAACACCGGGCTATTCTGACGATGGTGGCTAAGTTGGAAGAAAGTAGGGAGAAGGGCTTGGAAGGGGGAGAGAAAACGGAGCTTTCTCTGATAAATAGCATGGACTTTGCGTCTCTCGGCGTCGCGAATATTTCTCAAGTGTCTTACTCTTGACTCGAAAAAGTGAGAGAGAGAAAAAGAAGGTTTCTGTTCCACCGTCTTTTTACCTTCATTTTGAATGAACAACCAAGGGGTGTTTTCAACGCTTTAAAAGGTCGGAAGAGAGAGAGAAAAAGAAATAGAGATGGAGGAATTTCTTACGTGATTTTTTGCCTTCTAATATAGAAAATTTCAGAGACGATTCATTTTTCATGAAGTCTCTCTTCTCTCTCTTTCTTTCATCTACGTAACATTTCCCTGTCTCTCTGATTACATATTAACACTATTTCGATGATTATTTAACGAGTACTACTACTATACGCGAATAAAAAGATGATCCGTGCTTTGAAAAATGTATACAAAATAAATTATACATTTATATTATATGATTAAATATGTGTAACACGCTACTAGGGGTAGTTGCATTCGTTTGCATACGAAAATGTCTTTATTTTGTATGTATTATTTTTCGCCCTCTCTCTCCCTCTTTTTTCCAAGTTTCAAGAAAAAGTGCTGGTTGGTCCTTGAGAAGGTGGAAGCACTCGTTAGAATTGGTTGTAAATGCTGGATTTCCGTGGCTTTTGAAGATCATGTACCCACGCTATAATATCCTCTGGTAATTTCAAGCGCCCTCATTAGGGCGTCTCCTTGGAAAAGCGCACCCTAATGATAACGAGAGGGTAATCAACGTTTTCATTTGAAAGATATTTTCCTGCCTTCTTGCTTCTGCGTTTGCTTCCTTCCTCGCTGCTGACATTCTCCCAATGCGAATATTAACGTTGTCCTATTTCATTTGAAAGTGACCAAAATATTCTTACCAAAGCTCCAAACGATCGAACTTCTACCTTCTACAAGAATATTCCTTTTTTCTGCATAATTTATAACTCGCGTTAGAAGAGGAAGAATAAAGGAAGGTAGGAGGGAAGAAAGAATATAGATTCTTTGGAAGGTGCCATCAGCCGCATTATGGGGTTAATGTAATATGAAACTATCGTTAGACGTACATTTTATCGAACGAAAAGCACGATGAGTCTTTAGCTTACTTTATTCTAAAAGTTTTCTCCGCGCGTCGTTGCTTTTCTTTTTCCTTCTATTTGTGTCAAAATGGATAATGATAATAAAAAAGGAAAAAAAAAAAATAAATAGAAACACCAACGTTGTTTTTTATTGCCCAACCGACCGAAATGAGATGAAAGGAGACGCGATTAAAATATATTATGTAATATATTCCAGGATATTTAACATAAAATAGAAAAAAAATATTGATTTTAGTTCGTTCGTCACCCTCTGCTCCTGTGTCTCTAGAAACACAATTCGATACAACTCGGAAATTGACTTCGAAGTGCTTTTGAAATCCAGACGAGTCTCGTTCTACTTTGAAAATTCGATCTAAATTTAGTTAGTATTTAGTACGGTCTGACACAGGAAGAGAAAGAAAAGAATTAACTCGAAGGAAGAGAGTGAAAAAGTGTAGGATAAAATTGAAATGAAAAAAAAACAGAATGTCTTAAATTAAAAGGACGCGTTAAATAAGTGTCACCCCTTTCAAATTGGATTTTCTAATTGTCGGTGCAAGAGACATCAATTTTCAAAGGCCATTAAATAATATGACGCTCTACGTTCCTGAATGGTACGCAATGAACGTTTGTAGAAAAGGATAATTTAACCGCACGCATGATTCTGTCTCTCTTGCTCTGGTTTAACCGAAAACGCGTTAGAACCGTGTATAAGCTTAGAATAGCTAAATTGACGCGTTGAAAATGATCGCAAATAGCGTAGGCTAAAGCGCGCGTCCTGCTACCTTGTAGAATTTCAATGGGTTACCTCTCTCCTCGAGAGAATAGAAGGGCATAATCTAGCAACCGCGTCCTTCCTTCCTTCCAAAGGGAGAATCAGCTGCTCGTCTATCGACCTTGATGAGAAACGTTTTTGACACTTAGAACGAGAGACTACTGTTTGGAATACCAATCGTTCATTCGACAAAGGACTTTTTAAGTGAAACCAAATACTAATTTATTCTCTTTCATGGTAATCGAAAATGCAATGATTTATATTCTCGATCTGTTAATTATTAAGGATCGACAATAGGAGATAGTTATGAGATAAAAAAAATGGAGGGCACGTGCGAACGGACGCAATAAAAAAATGTCGAGATCGACCTCGACAAGGTCGCAAAACGATTGAACGTGTGCTCGATCGATGGCCGAAAGAATGTTGCGTGCCCCTGGTCTTTGGCCATTGGCCAAGGACAGTTTGCTTGCTTAACTTCGACAGTAGCCAACGATCGAGTTATTCTTCGTTTTTACGACACGTTCCTTCTTTCCCAATCCACCTAACCCATAAGCTTTCATAAAGGTATTAACTAACCGAGACAATTTATTCAGCACCAAAGATTACGTGACAATGACGAGGATCACGATTATGCGCGATTACGCGACGCTAAATAACGATTAGTTAGTCAACGCGCGTACGATAAGTAAGACTTCTTCTTCTTTTCCCTTGCATTTGACTCGATCGATCGAGCTATAAAACGGACTGGAACTCGACTCGAACCATCAATCGATCTTCAACTACGAGCTTTCGAGTTTCAACGAGAACTACTCCGCCAACCGATAATCAACATGAAGTGCTTCGTCGTGAGTACAATTTTCTAACGAACCAATATCGTCATCTTCATATTTATATACGAAACGTTAAAAAATTTCATATGAAAACACATATGTGATTATTATTATTATTATTATTCTTTAGGCTATCGCCCTTTTCGCTATGATCGCAATTGCCTTCGCCGATACGAAACCGGCCGAAGCAGAGTCGATCGAGCCTTCTAATGCGAACCCATTAGAAGCAGAAGCGGCTAGAAACAAACGAGGATTATTAGTCGGTGCTGCATACACTGCACCGATTGCATACACCGCTCCGGTTGCTTATACCTCAGCAGCGTACGCCTACCCCTACGCATACACAGCTGCATATTCGAGCTACCCCTATTATGCGGCTGGTTACAGCGCACCCTACATCGTGGCCTAGATAATGACGACGACCTACGAGCTTTTACCTGACGCCAACATCAACGTTTTTCCTACTTTTAAAGGTTTTTTTTTCTTCTCTTTTCCTCTTCTACTTTCTTTTCTCACCCACCAAGCAAGCAAGCAAGCGAACTAAGTATTCGTGCATTCGCCATGTCAAAAGGAATTTATTCTAACGAAAATTGTAAAAAAAGAAGAAGAAAAAACAGGTCGGACTCGTACGCACGATGCAAGAGAACTTTCCTGTAAGCTCTCTCTTGATATCTCTTTTGTTTGTATGCTTTTGTTTTTTTTCTTTTCTTCTTTTTCCGGATTTTCTAGCCGAATAGAGGATAATACAGCGTGGAAATAATCATAGAGGTAATCATAGGTAGAGATATTTGTTCTGTTCTTTTTTTTTTTTTTGACGACACGCTAGTAATATCCTCTTTTCGTTGCTTTTTTTTTAAATTAGGCTCTGTCGATTTTAACTTTAAATGTTATTGTCAAGATATAACCGTCTTTTAAAAAAGAAACTTATAAATGTAACCAATGTAATTAATAATAAATATTATATATGATATGTGCATATAAATAATGTTTCTCTTTATTTCTTTAGATAATAATAATAATAATAAGATAATTACTGAAAAGAAACGTGCAAACAAAATTCGAACTATTCTCGGAAATAAAACCAACGAAAGGGGTACACGTAAATTCCATTAAAATGAAAAATTTCGATCGATCGATCGATCGAAAAGTGAATTCTGGTTATCGGAAAGTTCGAAGAAAAATTGCATTCCAAGTTTCTCTCTTTCTTCGGTTGGAAAGGAATTTCTTTTCTTCGGAATAAATCGAAACTATTTCTCCAACGTCGGCATGTTTCGTTAACAAAGAAAGAAAGGAGGGTATCTATTTTCAAGATAACAGTTAAAAATCTTGTGAACAAAAAATATGTATTATATTTATAATATCATACATACATGCGAGATATGTGCAACCATCGATTTTCCCTAACTTTATATTCTTTCTCTTTTCTCCTTTGGTTCGTGTATTTTTTTCTATTTATTCGTAAAAATAAATTCCTACGTGAGCGTGTAAAACACAAGGGAGAACCGCGTGCCAATATTTTTTTATAACCCAGTGTATAAACGACGACTTGGACGGAATGTTTTATATCGAAAGTTGCTTCGATCCGGATAAAAAAAAGAAGTGGATAAAAAAAAAAAAAAAAGAAAATAGAAAGGAGAGAAAGAGAGAACGAGAAAAATATTGGAGAATAATAAAATAAAAAATAAAAATGTACAAGCAATATATAGAGAAGTGTAAGTTACGTTCGGAAATAAGGGTAATAAGCACAGCGATTCGAAACAGACCGAGTGTGGTAAAACTTTTAATTGCTCCCGTTGAATGTCCCACATGGTAATTAAACTGCGTTACGAAACATCCAACGTCGAATTTTAATTATATAACATGTCGATATTAGTTTACACAAAAGAAATGAAAAAAAAAAAAAAAAAATAAAATAAATAAATAAAAGAAAGAAATAATTACTTTCATCGACGTGTGCATTCAAATATTTCTGCTCAAATGAAATATATCTGAAATTCGTATGAAAAACTTTCTATGAAATAAAATAAAGTTGGTGATTTGTGGTAAAGAAACGTTTTTCTTGTTGAATATATATTTATTGATTGTCGCAAAGCACAAGTTTTCGTAGTTAGGTTTATTTTCGAAGACGGAGAAGCTAAACCGCAGACAATCGATGAGGTAAAACGGGCGAAGGTAGGAACGAACGACGCTTACCGAATGTGCGCGCGTAATCTTAGGATTTGAAGCCGCAAACGCTTGCGGTTACCGAACCGAAACGAGTCGTGCATACAAATAAGAGTCCCAAACGCGTTTAGAGTATCGTGTTTGCCAACTGCCGGTTTTAATAGCTGCTGCTTTTAAACTACATCTGAGAGTGACGAGTAATCGCAAACAATAGTTATCCTTCATTTTTTTTTTGGTTTTTTTTTTTTGGTTTTTCTATCGATACCAAAATTATTATCAATTTATATACAATGCGTCTGTGCGAGAGGGAAATGAAAATAAAAAGGGGTGATAGGGGGAGTAAAAAAAAGCTTGGAAGGCTCGCGACACAGGTGGCATACTAACAACGACACCTCACATACGTCAAAGAGAAACATAGTTCGATCGTGCCCTGCTGATTCTATGCTCGTTGGTATGGCTAATGGGAAAACCACGGGGGTATGCATAAGTCATAGCTTGCTTGTATTCCTCGTGATTTTTGCATTCCCTTTTTCTCTTTCCTTTCTTTATTTCGACGTAACGTGCATCATACTAACGATCAAGGGTGTGTACTAGAGGATTCGAGGATTGTTCGAATAATCTGGATATTATTGAATTATTCCTTACGAAAATAATCAATTGATAATGAAAATTCAACGTCCGTCGTATCTGCTAAAGGATGATCAATAGATTAGGCTAAAAATAAACTCGATCAAGATTAAATTGATCCCGGTGAGAGAAAACGTTCGAATAAACAACGATAAAACGTTTGATTAGAAATCAGAGAGAGAGAGAGAGAGAGAGAGAGAGAGAGAGAGAGAGATTTGAAAAATTTAATTAGACGATGAGCAGGATAAAGAGGTGGAAGTGATAAATACAGCAAGATAATACACGCTCGACGACAATAAACGTTTTAACGAAGAGCCAAGAATGACAATGGCGTTAACGGGATAAAACAACATATAGGAAAACATAGCGCCGTTATTATCTCCGGGAACGAGCTCGCATTGCTCGTATTTTCGTAGCCGTTACCAAACTATAACTATTTCACGCTTCGAGTTGCAAGAACAGTCGGTCTGCTCATAAACGATTATACTCGGCCGAGCTACCTGGATGCGTCGCGCGAATACATGAGCCGGAACGTATGTCGAAAGTATTGTCGGCATCTATTCTAACAAACGCATACACACGTTTATCCATCTTCCATCTTCTATCTTAATATTTTCTTCCGTATAAAATCACGATTAACACGAGCTAATATTATCCTTTCTCTCGTATTTATATTTATTGTTAGTACAATCCGTTCTTTTCCTATTTTAATATGCATCAGATTTAATAGAAAAAAAGAAAAAAGATAACTAATTTGATCGCAATTTAGCATAAGAAATAAGTTGAATAAAATGACATCGAATGATCCGACGTCGAAAAGGTGTTACAATTAATCCATAAATTTTACCTACGTAAACTCGAACGTTTCCCACGGCACTCCTTCCCATCGGGAGGGGGATCGACATATTTCGACGAGGGGGCGAATGTTCCCATGGATGCACGATAGTATCTCCAACCCTCGTGTCATAAACTGGTGTGGCTTTGCGAGGTCTATTCGATCGCAACGGTGACAGTTCAATTTCCTCGCAAAATATCGACACCAATTTCAACTTTCCTCTCTCTTTTTGAAACGTATTTGACATTAAGAGTAATCTTAAGCAAGTGTCACTTGTTAAACTTTCGTTATTACTTCTTTCATCGTCATTTAAATCGAATGACATTTTTTTTGTATTGCTCTCCTACGATACACTCGTTGGATTTTTTTTTTATAAGAACATTTTTTTATTAAAAATAATATATAAAAAAAAGATATAGGAAAGAACGAAGGTGTATTTAAGAACGTGTAATATCGTGAAACGTGACGTCAATCACGAGAAAGACGTTGAAGAAAAGTCAGATTTCTTTGCTCGTTATTTTATTCTTCTCACGTAGCAGCGGTTTTTAGTTCTCTCCCTTTTGCAGTCGTACGCTCGAAGGGATGTACGTGTCGATAATTGTGACGATTTTTACTCAACGTTACCACCCTCGAGAAAAGGAAAGAAAGAAAGAAAGGTAAAACTGTCGAGAGGATCTTTCTTGACAAAAAAATATGTTTTGCGGTGCACGTAGAGTAACCCAACCATATTTCTTTCTTATATTTTATTTTTTTTCTCTCCAAGAGTTTATTACCCTCTACGTAGATGGGGAAAGAAAAAGCAAATGATTCAACATCTTCTCTTTCTTTTTCTATTCGAAAAAAATTGTTAATCGTCCTTTTTGTGATCATGTTTTCCACGTTAATCGGAAGAGCTCTTTTCGTTTAGGCATGCCATGAATGGTTAAATAAAAAAGCAATGAAATATATAACGTTGCGCGCCGGTATTTCATTAGACACGCATGCTTGCGGAGAATCATCTTCCATAGATAGAACAAAGAGGTGGATACAAATTTTTTGGTTAAAAATTCAACGAGAAAAAAAAGAAAAAAAAAAGAAAAAGAAAAAAAGGAAAGCAACTTTTCTCCCATGCTTTTACAAATTTTCGAGCGAGGCCAATTATCGTTCTACTACCGTGCACCGCCGCTACGTGCTTCAAATATCAAACCGAAAGAGCTTGAAAGCTTGAAAAAGTTCCGCGAACAGAACAGAACAGAACGCAACGGAACGGAACCTACGAAAGAATGAAAATCCACGAGTCTGACGTTTCAATAAAACCTTATTCTCTTCTCGTATTCCCATGCGCAATTAAATAATACGTTGCAATGCGAATTAATACACGGATTTTTCACCATACATCCAGTGAAATATATATTTCCCTCAGTTTTTTTTTACCGATATTTTGTAATAAATTGAAAAACTAATGTAAGAGAAATTAGGTTACTTCTTTCCTTGTTTTTACAAATTCTTGCAATAATAAAAAGAAATTGATGTTATTATAGCTTTGACACGATTTGATACAATTAAATGTTAATGAGCAGTGAATAATTCCGACATTAACGCAATCGCTTTCATGGGAGTACTCGAACACGCTTTGGTATGTACTTATTTTAGGTCATATGCAGAATGTGGTATCTAGGTACATACATAAAGATATATACTCGAATGGTCGTTGAATATTCATTGATTAGACTAACGTAAGATGAGAGAAGGAAGCTTAACGCGTACCACTGGCTGAGTATATTACACTCGAAGGAAAGCTCGTGATCGTTCTCCGTGAACGTATGAGATAACAAGCAGCTGTTCGGATGTTATGCTAAAAATATACGAGCTGTATAATAAAGTATCGACTAAACTTCGACGATCTTATCAAAACAAACACGCACGCGAGTAGTATATACGTGTATGCGTGAATGGTGTTAATAAAGTTTTCGAAGAATTTCTAAATTCTTCCTTTTCCGTAGGAACGATTCAAGAAAAATGTTGGATTAAGTGTTTTAATCGAAAAAGTAATTAGCTCCGGAGTCACCCCGGTGCAACAAATACAAAACGTGACCGGAATCGTTCGGTCTCTAACGTAAAAATTCTTTTCTAACGCCATCCATCCTCCTCTCTTTTATTCTCTAGGAAATTCTTTGGATTATATCGAGGAAGATTAATCGATTTCGTCGACAAAACGAGGAAAATAATGAATAGTTGATCCAGATGGGATAATGCGTTGGTAGTGGTTTTATATCGAGTTCGGTGTAGATGATTGATGATGCCATCGAACGTTATAAAGAACGATAACAGATATGGTAAACATATCAATTTTGACTGGCTGATTACGTAAACATATGCGAACGCGTGCATTACTTTTTATTTTTCTTTTTTTAAAGCGAATGAACATGTTACACGAACAACATATCGACATAAATATAATCGAAAAATATTGAAAAATTATTATGCCGATCTAACGTTTGCTTTCACGAACAAAATGGAATAATAAATGTTTTGCGTAAATCGTCGAATACGACACAGATAATAAATGAAAAAAAAAAGAAACTAGAAGGGAATAGATTTCGCCATAACAAGATTCTAAACTCCGTGAAGAAATAAAGGAAGAGACGCGATTTTTCACGTCGTCGATCCATTTCAATCTGGTCTCTCGAGAGAAAGAAAAAGAAAGAGGAGGAGCCATCCATAAAAAATAGCCGCTTTCTTTCACGCCCTTCTTTCGCGATTTTACTTTGGCAGGGAATCAAAAGGTTTTCTAAAATAAATCGAATAGAAAAAAGAGAATAAAATATTTCTTCGCGAAGAGAGAGAGAGAAAAAAAAGAAAGAAAAAAAAGAAAGAAAAAAGTAAAACAATAAGATAAATAACGTTTTCTCTTTGTCTCTCTTTTTTACCTCTTGGGATGAATTTAAACGATGTCTACCTTGTTTATATTTCTTGTTTATTCCCGGAGAAAAGTATCTCTGACACGTAGTGACATAAAATCGAAGCCATTGGATTGGAGTAGTATCGATGCATTTCGAACGAAAGATATATATACCCATTATGCATATCCAGACGAATGTTCCTACGTTGTGTCGTACGTATTGCGAACAAATCCAATGCTAAAATGGCGCAAACAAAATGGAATATTCTATCTGGCTTCGCCTATATGAAAATCTCGCATAACGATA